GAGCACAATAAATTTATCAGTAGATACAAATCTCTTGACAAGTTACTCTGTTTCCCATTTCCAGTTGTGACATTCATTATGTCCATCAGAGAGGTAGAGTTAACAATGTGAGGTCTGCTGATGTACACGTGAAAGGAAGTAATATATTTAAAAGTAACTGCCATGATGTCTGATCCTTGAGAGTTAACTCAATAAGTGATGATTTTTCACTCTACTATATGTCAAAGTACAAGTATCTTTAGCATAGTTAGTTCTGATTTGTCTTATGATAGGAAGCACAAATACTGTATTTATTTTCAATTAGATTTTTGATGACAAAATATATAATAAATTATTCAAAAGCTATAATTAAAAAAAACAGCCAGGTAAGGGAAAAAGTCATTTTTAAAAACAACAAAAACTGGATTAGCCAATAAATATGGAAATTATCTTCATTTTCTCAACTGATGAATGAAAAAATAAATGAAAATAAATATTTTATAATAATGATGTTAAAATTTATAATTTGGGAAATTAAGTTACTCAAAAATGAGAGAAAACATGTGTTCTCATGTTCACTCATTTACATATTTATCCATTCATTCAAGGATGCTTTTGATTAAACCAAGGTTGTCCTCCATGCTAAACAATTGTTCTATAACTAACCCAGTATCTGCTGCCTCATACTCCTTAGATCTATTTTGAATCAGAAGTTTAATTGTCTTCTTGTCCAGTAGACTTGGTGTGTACTCTAGTTCAGAAATTCCACAAGTAGCAACATATGTAGAGGTTCTAAAATAAGTATCTAAATTAAGGCTCATATTGTAAAGTAAAAAAGATATTCTGAGGAGACTCCAATTCTATACATTAAATCGATGGCTAAATTAACTTTAAATTAATTTTTATTGAAAATTAATAAAAGCATTCAGTTCTACATAAAATGCTTTAGAAATACCATGCTATGTTTAAAGGCTAATTTACAAAATTCTATATGAAGTTTGATATTTTTGTTTATCAAAGCAACTCCATGTATTTAAATTGATTGCTATCATATGGTAAAAACAATTTAAACTAATCTGAAAATCATGTTGCTTCTGTGTATGGAAGGCAGAGAAACAATATGATGTAATTTATACACACACACACACACACACACACACACACACACACACACAAAACAAACCACAAACACATTTTTACATATACAATATAATACCCAACCCTCAATCTATTGGGCAGTATTAACATAATTAGTATTATTTCTGACTCTTAAAAATCATTGAAATCTCTGAACAAATACTTTGACTTTTTTGGCTTTGAATTCCAGGCTATATCAGTTGTTATTATTCTTTATCATCATTATTTATTATTATTATTAATGAGTAAACAAGTTCATGAAGGTACACATTGTGGATGTTCTAAATTTGAGAAGCATTAATTTATCATTACAAGATTTGGGCAGATTTTTAGTTATATTTTTCATATATGCTTCTTAGAGTATTTACATGAATAAAATTTCTCTTCTAATTATTCATCTTCTACTGAATGTGTAAGCATTTTCAGTAGGGAAATTAGCTATTAGTTACATGCTGTAGAACACTCTTGGGTTAATACTCCATAATTTGAGTTATAGTTCATAAAATTTGGAACATTTTCCAATTTTCCATTATGAATTTGGCCTGACAATAATGCTAACGCCGTAAGATTTTGTAAAAGGCAATGGCATGAAAAAGCATAGCTAACTGTATTATTGCAGCAGCTTCATCAGCACTGCCATAAACAATTTAGAAGTAGTTACTTTCTGGTTATTAGACTTTAATCCTGTACTTCTCAGTGTGGCTTTGAAGCGCACACTGATGACACTGTACATTACGATGTTGGGCTGATCTCCTCATCACACTGTAGCTTGTAAAGTTGCTATTCCCTTCCCTGACCCCACCCATACTCCTGAGCTGTCTTACTCTATATCTTCTTTGCATTTGTCTATTCTAATCCTATGCACCTATGCACCTTGTCAAACTAGACTTGGATTTCTGAAGTTTTCCTGAATAAATTTAAAGCCTTACAACATGCATTTATAGTGCCACTTCAGACAATTTTCTGGTCTTGCATTCTTCATTGGAGTTTCATATTCACATCTTCACCACAAAATAAACTGGTTGAAGCTTGGTGCTTCATCTGATTTCATTCACCATTCAAACTGAGCTTTGCAGAAGCACATGTGAATAGCAGACACTTGATACATTTTAATTGTAATAAAAATAATCCACTGTATTTTTCCAAAATCCAAATGCTATTATCACTTATCCATTCAAGTGAAACCTGTTACAAATCATGGCTTGAGGTAAAATTTATTTTACTAAATTAAATTCATCTTGAATTTGATTTGCCTTTTGTTCAAAGTGGACTACCTCAGTGAAACTGTTAAGAATCTGACATGTCATTATACACATATTTTAGAGTTTTTTTTTAATAATTTTGATGACATAATTATATGTGCTCAAGTAGAATAATATAATCATGGTGATTTTTAGACTGTGAAAATGTGGGAGAAACAGCAAAATAGAGCTGTTTTTATGTGCCTTTTTTTCTAGTTTGGGTGGTTCTTTCTTTTCCTGAGGCATACCTAAGACTCTGATAGAAAAAAAGAAAAAAGAAAGTGTCCCAGACAATAGCAGCAGAGATCCAAATCTAAAAGAAAGGGCTCTTCCCATTGTAGTACTGAAATTACAAAGAATTATTGGTGAACTCAGCAGCCTGCAAGGCTGTAGGAGCATTACAGATTTTTCTGGTCAAGCCTTCCAACATTTGTAGGATGAGAATTTAGAGTAAAAAATTCACATCAGATTATAATTTATAACTCTCTTAAAATATGAATTCTAACAGCTATTTTAAGTTTAAAACATGTTTTAATAATGATCCTTCTGAATTCGAGGAGGTATTGAGCAACACTAAAACTTTTGTTCTCTTTTAGGTTTTAGAGAATCATAGTTGAGTTATAAAAAATTAAATATTCTCTTTATCAATGCCCGGTCATGAAACGATAATTCTAAAAATACGTTTAATTTATAATAGATATATGTTAGACATTTCTCATCTTTTTTAAACATGCAAATATTTTTAGCCTTTCCTATGCTTCATCAGCAATTTCTACAAACTTTTTTAGGAAGGAGATTTAGAACATCCATAGTATTTTGTTTCATAATTCTACTGGACAACAAATTGAGTTTTAAATTTGTATAGTCTTTATATTTAAAAACAATAGATTATAGAATAGAGGCAAATGATAAGAAAACCTATTAAGATATTTGCAATATGCTGTGCCCCAAATCCAGTTAATAGGAATCCATCTTTTAATTAATAATCATACCAATTACCAATTTTGATTTTCTAAATTCCTTTGAGGCATAACTTTTAAGATCAAGGTTTTAATAATAACACAATAACATGGATAAGGAGAGAAAATAGCAGTGAGAGACATAGTTAGGATTACTATTGTGCCAGCCATAGTGGCACATATCTTTAATTTTAGCACTTAGGTGGCAGAGACAGGCAGATCTCTGAGTTTGAGGCCATTCTGGTATACAGAATGAGTTCCAGAATAGCCAGGGTTACACAGAGAAACCCTGTTTTGAAAAACTCAATCTTCTGGAATGGAAAAATATAAATCCTGCATATTTCTATGATGGTTTCTTCCTTATCCTTGGAATTGTAACTAAACACTGGAAGCCTATGTAGACCTAAAAGTCAACATTTGTTGGTGCTGGAAGAGATCTATTTGCTGACTGTGTTCACTGTAATATGTGAACCACCCATGGTTCCCAACTGTAGGACAAAGGTATTTGGCCAGCCATTGCTTCTGTAATGTTATTCACTTCCTGGGCACCTGTCAGAGCAGTCTAAATTGAGAAACATTAGTTCTCACACATGATATCTCTTAATATGTCTATATATTTCTTACCAGTAATCAAGATTCAGATGGTTTCACATTCTGTTGAATTCTCTATTTTCTTCATTTTTAATTTTTATCATGGTATTTCTTCTGGAAATCCTCTTTCCCAATGATTTTTCTTTTCTTTTTTCTTTCCTTTCCTTTTTTTGTAACTGCAGCACTTTTATTTTTCTTTACACAATGATGTAGATGTAACAGTCTTATTAAGTAAGAAACACAGAGCCAAATGCAGTTAAAAGCTTAAGAGGTCAGAGCAGTAGCTAAGAGCTGAGACTTATACCCCCCCTTCTTACCCTTCACTGCCGCTGCCATCCTTCCCCTGAGAAAGAGAACTACTTCCTGTATATCTGTCATTTCATTGACTTTCTGTTCTGCCTTCTCATTGGTTGTAAACCCAACCACATGACCTCCTGGTCACTGCCTGTCTACACAGACCTCCAGGTCTTCTATGGTTTGTATTGAGATTAAAGGCATGTGTCTCCATGCTGTTGGTGTCCATGAACACACAGAGATCTGCCTGTCATGTGATCAGGATTAAGGGTATGTGCTACCACTGCCAGACTTCTGCTATCGCTTGCTATTAGCTCTAACCTCCAGGCACTTTTATTTATTAACATACAAATAAAATCACATTTCAGCACAAATAAAATATCACCATACAATGACATGTTGCTGGGGCCTAATATTCTCACTGAACAGTAGAAAACAAAAATTTGTCATTTCTTAAAGAATTGAGTACAAAAAAAAACCTTACATTAAATTAAAAGGATGAATACATTTATAGGTGTCAATGCAAACTTTCCCAATTCAAGGCAAGTAACAACCCACCCGGCCAGGAGGGAAAACACCAGAACGGAACCACCCACTACACAGTTAACTTGAATACAAGGTCAGAAATCAGCAACAAGTTCTACCATCCATATTGGATACAATATGATATTGGATACAAGCTTCAAGGACAAATTTCTTTTCAAAGGCTTATTCCAGTTTCATGAGGATAGCATGAAGTGTGTGCATTCACCAGGGCAAATTGATACATCAGAATTAGCCCATGCAGCAGATGTCTGGCACCTGCTCAGTCCATCTAGAAGCATTTACGGTGGACGATGGAGGGGCCTGACTCATCATATTCCTGCTTGCTGATCCACATCTGCTGGAAGGTGGACAGTAGGCCAGAATGGAGCCGCCAATTCAGACTGAATACTTGTGCTCAGGGCGAGCAATGATCTTAATCTTCATTGTGCTGTGTGTTAGGGCTATGGTCTTCTTCTGCATTCTGTCAGCAATGCCTGGATAAACGGTGGTACCACCAGACAGCACTGTGTTGGCATACAGGTCCTTGCGGATGTCCACATCATACTTCATGATAGAGTTGAAGGTGGTCTTGTGGATGCCACATGACTCCATGTCCAGGAAGGAAGGCTGGAAGAGCGCCTCTGGACACCGGAAGCACTCATTGCCGATGGTGATCACCTGTCCATCAGGCAGCTCATAGCTCTTCTCCAAGGAAGAGGACAATGCAGCAGTAGCCATTTCTTGTTCAAAATCCAGGGCAACATAGCACAGCTTCTCTTAATGTCATACACAATTTCCCACTCAGCCGTCATGGTGAAGCTATATCCCCTCTTAGTCACGGTCTTCATGAGGTAGTCTGTCAGGTCCCGGCCAGCCAGGTCCAGACACAAGATGGTGTGGAGCAGGGCGTAACCCTCATTGAAGGGCACAGTATGTGTGACCCTGTCACCATAGTCCATGACAATGCCAGTGGTGTGCCCAGATGCATACAGGGACAGCGTCGCCTGAATGGCCACGTACATGGCTGGGGTATTGAAGGTTTCAAACATTATCTGCATCATCTTCTCTCTGTTAGCTTTGGGGTTCAGGGGGGCCTCGGTCAGAAGCACTGGGTGCTCCTCAGGGGCCACACGCAGTTCAATGTAGAAAGTGTGATGCCAGATCTCCATGTCATCCCATTTGGTGACAGGGTCAGGATACCTCTCTTTCTCTGGGCCTCATCACCCACATAGGAGTCCTTCTGGCCCATGCCCACCATGACGCCCTGGTGTCGGGGGCGCCCAACAATTGAAGGAAACACGGCCCTGGGCGCGTTGTCGCCAGCAAAGCCAGCTTTGCCCAGGCCAGAGCCATTGTCAATGACGAGTGCGGCAATTTCTTCTCCCCTTGCTATCGGTGAAGGACGGGGAGACGGAGCAGCAAAAAGACATGCAGCGCAAATCGGTGGCGGAGTGTGATGTGAGCCCCAGTGATTTTCATTCCTTCTTTCTTTTTACTTTTTTTTTTCTTTTTTTAAAATATTGGACAGGTATCAGTACTTTTGTGTTTTTAAGGTTTTATGCATATTGCTGCATGGATATCTTGTGTGATTCTGGATTAGTTTAGGTGCTGTAATGCTAAAATGTAACTTTTGTTATTGCTACTTGAAAATAAGGCCACATGTAGATGAATCAAAATCAACTTACAAGGAAGATGGGGCTATATACCTTAGCTGTTGGAGGACGACGAATCTTGTCCCTGCCTATTGGTTTTATGTAAGAGTTTCTTAGAGTCCTTAACATCTTAACTCTTGCATATTTGGAAATAAAATGATATAATGCATGGAAAAAAACTTACTCAACATCTGGCACATAGGAGAGGGATGGAAAAATTCAAAATTCAGGAGGTCAACTCTCTACACGTTTTACAAATAAGTATAGTAAACTTTCAAATGCAATAACCCTTTGGTTTTTGTTCCTTATAATTGGTTGCCATTTTGTTTTCCTTTTAGGTTTCATAAAATGTATGATGCTGATTAGGGATACCAAAGATAGGGCCTGAGTGATGGTTGTTTGTTTTCCTTCAAAACTATTTTTACACATCTCTATTCCTATTCTCTACATAAATTTCTGCTTGGCTTATTTCCATTCTAATATCATTTGAGGTAGATAAATTTAGAATAATAAGCACTGTACAAGCGGAAATCTTTATATGTTAATTATATTCAATTACATTCACATATACTTCTGAAAAGCAACAGCATCGATGATCTACAGCACACAAAAGTACTTCTCTGTGCCACAATTCTGTAGCAGAAATATATTTGAAGTCATTTGTATCAGAGAAATATGCAAAGACATAATGTGATTAAGTCATATCTATCACTTGGTCATTAAAATCTAAGACACGGTTATTGTCTTGTGTCAATGGAATTCACAATAAATATGTATTGTGTTTTTCTTCTCATTGACCATCTGTGATTTCAGATGGTGCAGAGAAAGCCTGTGCAGCTTGTCTTATTCGACCTTCACAATAATCTTATGAGGTGTCTGTCTATTCCATGAACTGGCTGGGAAATATCTGGAGAAGGAAGATGACTTGGTAAAGGTCAAAGGGCATCTCTCAAGCAGACTCAGAATCCAGGAATAAGAATTTGGCCTGTTGCATTTCCCAGATCCAATTTCTAGTTAACCTTATAGGATTTCCCCTATTTTTCAATGTTGGTCTCATTTTATATGTATAAGTTGAAATGCAAGTAAGAATGATGGTATTGCTTGGCATTACTTTAGCATCTGGAATCTCCATGCAAACCTTTGTTCTGTGTGGATTTCAGATCAGTGACTGCCTAGAAAATTCCACAGCCTGTAGTGAATAAATAAGTAGTATACTTAATAAATGCACCTTTGTATGGAGCTTTCAGAGCCTAGGGTGGCAGAGGATTTAAGAGACTATTCATATGAATTGTGTCTTTGGAAGACAGGGATAGGCAAAGCAATACCAATGGGGTTCAAGTGAACTGGAGTAGAGAAACAAGACCATGTAATTACTTCAATTAACTTCATCACTATTTTAGTCAATAAGATCACCATGGGTGTCTAATTTTGGAATTAGACAAAACAGTGAAACCGTCTCTAACTTTCAATATATTCTAAATTAAAGGTTTGCTTTTTTGTTTGTTTACTTTCTTTGGAAAAGCTTTCATAATATCCCATTCTGGCCCTGAAATAGCTATGAAGCTGAGCATGATGCTGAATTATTTCATCTTCCTGTTTTTCTTCATAGATTGCTGGGATTACAGACATGCACTGCCATGGGAATCAAACAAAGGAGTTCTTGTGTGCCAGGAAAGTATTCCACCCACTGAGCTACGTCTGCAGTCATTAGCTTTGATATCTTTTAAATCATTCTTTCCATCAATGTGCAAAGGAGACATGGATCCATCGCCCTTTGGATTAGATTTTATTCATCTGTGCCAATAACTCTGTGACTACTAAACTTTCTTCTTTTAATGATTGTCTAAGCCAACAAGGATTGAAGATAATTCAGTTAGAAAAATAAATTTATAAACTGATACCACGGTTTTTTTTACTTCTCAAATAAAAAAAAAACAATGTTCTTCAAGTGGTTTTAAGTACTTATATATGGGATAATCTATTCTAAATTGTACAAAAAAGAAGAGAAAAATTAAAAAAGAAGCAAGCAAATAAAACAAAACAAAATCCAAACAAGCAAAAAACTAACCTTGGCAGCATTAATTTTTATACATTAAGTTGTGTGACCCATACATTTTCTATGAATCTGATTTTCAAATGAGATAGCTACTTTGTATTCTCTAATCCTTCTTAGAAAATAAACAAGAGAATATACTTATTCCCCTATTTCTTAATACTTCCACACAAGAACCACTTAAGAATATTTTTCAATCATTTTGTGTCTTTTTATTGGAATGTATTTTTTTTTATTTCTTTGGAATCACAATTTGCTTTAAAATATTCAAAATGACTGAGTTTTTTCAGTACTAAACTTTTTATTCAGAGAACAAAACCCAGTTTATTAATAAGATTACACTTGAGAAATATTTTGTATTTATGTTGTTGATAAAAATGTCATTATAGAATCTGCAAAAATCAGCTGAAGTCTAGGTGTGTTAATCATCCCTAAAACAATATTGTGTAGGGGGTTGTTTGTATTTTCTGCCTGTAAATAGTTAGGTTGTTGAAGTATAAAAATGGAAATGATCCTATGCTCTTTTCATAGGATGCTAGGCTTCAGTGAAAATGTATCGGACAGATTGTCCATGAAAAGGAGACTGAGCTTTTGTGTTATGTGCAAATCTTCAGGTAAAAATTATTATTATGGCCTATATGTCATAAAGTGCAGGCACCAACTCAAAATGGGAAATCTAGGTCATTTAGTCACCTATGTGAGAGAGAGGATTATGTAGGAGAGATGGTTACTAAGAGGATTGCTTGGACTCTTTGATCTCAACTGAAAATATCCTTTAATATGACAGGCTATATTGATGTCAGCTTTGAAGAAGCAAAAACTTTAGAACAGGGCCATTGTCTACTTATTCCTTTATATTGTGTGTCATCTTTCACAACATTACAATTCTTAGGGACATGCTATTGAAATTGTGAATCAAAATAAGGAAGTGTGTGAAGATTTAAGAGACGAATATGATTCTATTTATATAAAAAGAATACCTCACAATGCACTTTGATATCTGCAAAATGATATAAAAATATAAACACAAAAGTAATAATTTGTGTCTTATGTGACCAACTTTTCTTCCTTGATAATTTCTTTGTATTTGTGCTTATAGTGTGAAAAACTTATATGAAACTACATATTAAGTGTTTGGTTAATCTATATATATTTGGTACATGAGCTAGCTTTGAAATTTCTGAAAACAAAAGTCACTATGGATTCACTAACACAATTTCTGTATGGCCTGATTTGTGGATTTTTTTAACCATTTTTTTGTTTATGCCTTAACTCTCAAAGTGTTGATATTTGAGTTGGGGCCTTTGCAAAGTAATTAAATGGTTTCCAAGACTTTGAACAGGTGCCTGCTCAATCAGGTTGATGTCTTAAGGAAGGGTGAGGGACACAAGCTCACTCTATGCTGTGAGAACACACATGAAGAGAGCATTTTGTAACCATCAGAAGGGCCTTCATGAATACCTGCTATAGTGTCACCTGTACTAAGATTCACACTCTCTAGAACTGCAACACAGTTCTTTCCTGTAATGTAAGCCATCTTGTCTCTGGTGTTTTGTAAAAGTTGCTCCACTTGAATAGCATGCTCATGTAGTTTGATTAGCAGGGGTGGCTAAATTTTAGTGTGTAAGATGAATTACTAAACGGTCTTATTAATAAAAAAAAAAAAGCAAACCTGGAGCCAGTTATTGTGGTGAAAATGGAGAGATCAGAGGGATAGGATAAGCCACAGCTAACCTCACCTCACCAACTCAACTTCCAAAGAGAGCTACTTCCTGTATACCCATGCCTATATGTCTTTCTGTCCCTGCCATCTCACTTCCTCTCTCCACCCAGCTACATCACTTTCTCTTTCTGCCCAGCTCTGTCACTTCTTGTCTGTCTGTACAGACCTCTAGACCTTTATGGTTAACTAGTGTTGGAATAAAAGGCATGTGCCACCATGCCTGGCTCTGTTCCCAATGTTGAACCCACAAAGATATGGATCTCTGCCTCCCAAATGCTAGGATTAAAGGCATATCCTACCATTGCCAGACTTCTATGTTTACTGTAGTGGCTGGCTTTTTCCTCTGATCTTTGGATATGCTTTATTGAGGTACACAGACAAAATATCTCCACATTAGTGCTCTCAAAATGTAGAAATAAATGTATGGCTATATTAACCACAAAAACAATATATTTGAAATTCAAACATAATAAAAGTATTAAACCTTACTGAATGTCAAATATACTTTCAAGCATGATATTTTATCATGTTTATTACAGAATATGAAATTCCCATATGTAATTTTGAGACAGGACTTTTTTTCTGTGAAATGATACATTTGTGAAAAAAAAAACGGTATTTATTTTGGTAGAACATCATCTCTAGAACAAAATGTATAAGAAATGAATGAAAAATAAGACATAAACACTACCCCAAATAGTTCTGCTGAGTGACTAGGACTACAGATACTTATTTCAATTTTATAGTTCCTTCTATTCACTCAGGCAGAGTACTTGTTTGAGATGAGGTTCCGTGTATGATGCTAGAAGACCAGGAATATCCTTATCTGTGAATTATTTGAAATTACTTCATGCAATAAAATTCATGTGCCACAATCCATAATTATACACATACTGGAATGCCTGCTTTTGATCAATAATTTTC